TTTAAATATATTCATTGTTACGTACAACAAACAATATCAAAGTACTTATTTACCTTAATATTATATAAACGTATTCATTGTTACGTACACAAACAATATCAAAGTATTTATTTACCTTAATATTATATAAACGTATTCATTGTTACGTACACAAACAATATCAAAGTATTTATTTACCGTTATTATAATCCGTTAGACTAACATGAATTATCGGGATAAACAAAAATGATACAAGCAAAAAGAACGCTGAATACAGACGATGATGTATATACGGCAACTTTAATAAATTATTATTTAAATGTAAAGATTAAAAAAATGCCAAAATATTTTTTATTTGCAGTAACAAGTCCCTTGGAAAGTTAATATAGTATATTTTGACGATATTTCTGACATTTCTGATATTCCTGACATAATTCAGGGAAGATTTACGAACAATGATAGATTTCCAAGATTTTGAAAACAAAAGTTTAGAAAGTTAAATGGGAACTGATATAAAGACACAAAGATATAAAAATGAAACAAATATTGAAGATGGAGAAATAAGTTCAAAGTTTGTCCAGCTTCAAATTTTGTTTTAAATGAAAGTTAAAATATTACATCACAGTTTCTCCTTCCATTTTGATCTTATTTAGTCCAAAACAAGATTAGATAAAGTTCCAAGAATTTCTAAACGGAGACATTTCGAAGCCTAAATAGAAACCAATATAAAGATGAAACCAGTCTTTACATAAATGAGGAAAAACAAAAAAACATGTGTATGTTTCACAAATATTTGGTTTATTACAGCCATGGTTGGCCCGGCACATGGCCAGGTGGTTAGGGCCCCGGCATGGCCAGGTGGTTAGGGATCTCGACTCGCAATCTGCGAGTCGCGGCTTCGAATCCGCGTCACACCAAACATGCTCGCCCTTTCAGCCGTGGGGGCGTTATAGTGTGACGGCCAATCCCACTATTCGTTGGTAAAAGAGTAGCCCAAGAGATGGCGGTGGGTGGTGATGACTAGCTGCCTTCCCTCTAGTCTTACACTGCTAAATTAGGGACGGCTAGCGCAGATAGCCCTCGTGTAGCTTTGCGCGAAACAAACAAACAACCATGGTTTCGCCATGATGAAACCTTTCCTGGAATTTATTCCATGGCTGTAATAAATATAGTATTTGTGAAACGAACGACTGTCTTTTGTTTCCCTCAATTCTGTAATAATGGAGTTTCACTCAGTATAGATTATTAATTGTAGAAATCAATATTCTACCAAAACTTAGATCTATATACAAAAAAACTGTTAAAAGTGAAACCTAAAATATGACAATTTTTGTCCTACAAGATTGTTAAATATGAAACCTAAAATATGATTTTTTTATGTCCTACAAGATTGTTAAAAGTAAAACCTAAAATATGACAATTTTTGTCCTACAGTATTGCTAAAAGTGAAACCTAAAATATGACAATTTTTGTCCTACAGTATTGCTAAAAGTGAAACCTAAAATATGAGAGTTTTTGTCCTACAAGATTTTTAAAAGTGAAACCTAAAATATGACAATTTTTGTCCTACAGTATTGCTAAAAGTGAAACCTAAAATATGAGAGTTTTTGTCCTACAAGATTGTTGAAAGTGAAACCTTAAATATGACAGTTTTGTCCTACAAGATTGTTGAAAGTGAAACCTAAAATATGACAGTTTTTGTCCTACAGGATTGTCAAAGTG